CCCATGGCTGACCTCTGGGAGGTGAGGCAGGTGTTGTGGTCCTGCTGGAGGAGTGACGGGACCTCTGGGAGGTGAGGCAGGTGTTGTGGTCCTGCTGGAGGAGTGACGGGACCTCTGGGAGGTGAGGCAGGTGTTGTGGTCCTGCTGGAGGAGTGACCATCTTCACCAGGGGGGGCTGGAAGACCACCTTGGTACTCACGAGGAAATTCTTGCAGGTGTTAGACAACAGGTCGACCTTGTGTAGGTGTTTATCCCGTTGTGCCGGAGAGTGATGGCTGTTTGTTGCACCTCTCTTGCACCCCCCTGTACCTCACCTGCACCCCTGTACCTCACCTGCACCCCCTGCACCTCACCTGCACCTCACCTGCACCCTCTGCACCTCACCTGCACCCCCGCACATCTTAGGTTGAAAAAAATCTGCACCCCATTTTAGCAACATTGGTTGAGTCTGTCTTGCTTGCGATGTCATTTTCGTATTGCCCTTCTGCCTCTCTTCTCACCCTGACATATTTATTCCTGGCACTCTGGTATCTTTCTCTGCTCTCAAGTGTCCTGTTATTTCTATAGTTTCTCCACGCCCTTCTACTGTGTTGCTTTGCCAGCTTACATCTCTGAGTGAACCATGGGTTTCTCATCTGCATTTCGTTTCTTTCCTTTTAGACCGGGACAAACTTATCTGCTGCTTCTTGTGGGGGGGGGGGATAGGAGGGAAGACTTGGGGGGGGGGGGAGAATGGAGGGCTTAGGGGATGGGGGAGATGGGAGGGCTTAGCGGGGTGGGGGAAAAGGGAGGGGGGAAGGGAGGGCTTGGGGCAGGTAGGACTTCTATTGGATGGAAGGTAAGGGTGGTGCTCCTCTCACTGGGGCTATTGAACTGCTTGTAGAGGGTTCCCTGCTCCCCTCTGGGATTGTAGGGTTCGGGGTTGTGGTTCCCTGATTCCTTCTCTCACCCTGCACTCCATCCTTATGACTGCTGCCCTCATTCTCTCGTCCCTTGTCATATCCCTCAGCAGGAATAACTTTTTGAATTTCGGTGCATTTAGTAGTTTGTACATTTAGTAGTTTGTTCTTCCTTGCTAACAGGTCCTCTTTTGTGTTCTCACTCATGAATACCACCTTTATCAATCGGCCTTTGTCCTTGTTGTACTATCCAAGCCTGAAAAAACCTTCTCAATATTACATTCAGCCCTTTCCATCTGTATCCCTTCAAGGATCTTCTTAAACTGCAGTTTTGTCCTTGTCTCTCCACTCCATTGGACTGGTCCTCCTGCTTGTACGTTAATGCCTACTACGACTACTGCTCTTTTTCTCTCTATCAGCTGGCTTGTACACCTAGCTGCTTCCTGAGAAGTAGCCACTTTCAGGCAACTTCCTTTACTGCAGACATAGCTTCAGGGCTCTTTTTAAACAAATCTGCAAATGCGTGTTGTGGTGTAGAAGTCTCCTCTACACATACATTACCAGCTTCCTGAGGGATGGTTCGTGTCTGGTATTGAGTAGGATTCTCTTCCAGGCTTTTTTATCTTCTCCTTTGCTGCCCTCAGCTCATCCTGCAGGTTGGTTACTTTCTCCCTCATTACCTTCAGTTCTTCACTGATTTCCCTCCACATGCGAGCGATTGCCTCCTTAATCGAGTCATCTTGTCCCCCATTTCTCTCTCTATTTTGGTGTCTCGCTGCCATGTTTGTTCCCTATTCCAGTGTTCAGAATAGTGTGTGGGGGGGGGGGGGGAGGGGGGGGTGAAGTGTATTCACCTAGTTGTGCTTGTGGGGGTTGAGGTGTGCTCTTTCGGCCCGCCTCTCAACTGTCAATCAACTGTTTCTAACTAGTACTACTACTATTTTTTTTTCACATCACACACACACACCAGGTAGCAGCCCATGATAGCTGACTAACTCCCAGGAACCTATTTACTGCTACGTAACAGGGGCATAAGGTGAAAGAAACTCTGCTCAATGTTTCTCGGCCGGGATCGAATCCGGGACCACAGGATCACAAGTCCAGCGTGCTGTCCGCTCGGCCGGCCCCCTGTGGGTGTGTGGGTGTGAGGGGTGGAGTATATGTGTTACACTGTGGTGGGTGTGCATGTGCGCATGAGCATGTGTGTGGGAGTGTGTATGTGTGTGTGTGTGTGTGTGTGTGTGTGTGTGTGTGTGTGTGTGTGTGTGTGTGTGTGTGTGTGTGTGTGTGTGTGTGTGTGGTGAGGGGTGATGGTGGTAAGATTGGAGTTTAGCCGGTGGCAAGAGAGAGAGAGAGAGAGAGAGAGAGAGAGAGAGAGAGAGAGAGAGAGAGAGAGAGAGAGAGAGAGGGAGAGGAAATGGAATGTTAGATATCCGTGTTCATATCTGATTGTCCAGGCCATAACCAATTATACAGTTAAGCTGAATTTGTTTCATTTTATTTACCAATCCATGAAGTATTAACATTTTAACATTGTAGTGAATGTCTACCAATCGATTAATTTCGAGTGATAACTACGTCATTAATAAACCCCAGCTTGTGTGGAAAACGATTTATGGGAATTTAATATCATACAGTATACTATAAATTCATGTAGTCCGCTATCAAAATAGATAAATTAACGTAAGAAATAAATTAATATAAACTAATAAATTGTAAATAAATAAATCCCACGAGTCAGTTTTCCCCAGAGAGAGAGAGAGAGAGAGAGAGAGAGAGAGAGAGAGCGGTAAAGAGAAAAGAGTAGACAGACAGACCCGGGTACTCCAGTAGTATACTGTATATATAAATTAATAGATGTTCATCGTTATTGCTTCTTTGAAAAAATGACCCGTATGTTGTATTTCCTTATATTCTGCTATTTGTTGAGTGGCAGTCGTATGGCATTTGTAACCCATGGATTGTTTATAATTATCTTCAATAGCAACCTGGTACATCAACATGAGGGAGTCATGTTGTGGAGGGAAATGAACCCACCTTCATGTCATGCTGCCGAGTTCTGTCTCCCAGTTCATGTTAGTGATTGTTTTCATCCAGCCTCATTTCCTTCACCCATCACGTCAGAAATAGAGGTTACCCGGTGAATATTCTCCAAGACGCCAAAATAAAATTAGATGGCAAAAAAAGACAAGAATTATTTCATATAGCAAGATCCCGAGATGCTAATGAGAGGCATCCTCCCACTCCTCTACTTTCCGGGAACTGCGGGACCTCGACGCCCAGAACTGACCAACTTATGGGACTGGCCTCGACGCCCAGAACTGACCAACTTATGGGACTGGCCTCGACGTCCAGAACTGACCAACTTATGGGACTGGCCTCGACGTCCAGAACTGACCAACTTATGGGACTGGCCTCGACGCCCAGAACTGACCAACTTATGGGACTGGCCTCGACGCCCAGAACTGACCAACTTATGGGACTGGCCTCGACGCCCAGAACAGACCAGCTTATGGGACTGGCCTTGACGCCCAGAACTGACCAACTTATGGGACTGGCCTCGACGCCCAGAACTGACCAACTTATGGGACTGGCCTCGACGCCCAGAACTGACTAACTTATGGGACTGGCTTAAGGCCACCCGGGCAGAACATCCGTCATTGCAAAACTTCCCACCTTTATTTCCTATGTTTGTATGCGTCAAAGGGAAATCTCTAAGAGATAGTTAAAGCTAGTTTTTCGTAACATTAGCGCACCTTCTATGGACACAGCGACCTATTGAGGGGGTCAACTGGGCGTTTTTGATGAAAATTTCAGTAGCTAGGGATGGAATGACAGGATGTGGAGTCTTGATTAGGGAGTACACTGACATCGGCACTGTAGATACTGTTATTGGACGCCGCTTAACTGGCAATGTCTCTTCAGCGCAGGCTGAACTCCAAGGTGTATTAGCAGGATTACAGGAAGTAGTCAGTGTGGAAAATTGGTTGTTTCTTTATAAACAGTAGAGAAACGTTGGAGTTTTTAAATAGCAGACGACCAGTATACCAGAATATTGTGATCGAGAGTAGAGAGAATGTTTAGACATTAGAAAAAATGGATATTAAGTAAGATTCATGTGGACGCCTTCACATGTGGGAATACTGTTGAATGAAGCAGTTGTTGAGATAGCGAAGAGAGCCTTGGAAAAACTCGTGTCGATGTTGTATATCAGAAAACGGCAAGTTAAGAGAACGGCAATGCATGGTAGACAGCAGTAACACGCCTAAGCGTTATGCAATAATAAGCACAAATTCGTCCTTCACTTATGGTAGAGGAAAGTCTACTCTGAAGGACTCAGTTTACATGAGGTTACGAGTAGGATACAAATATTTCTGGCAATACGGTGTTGTTGTCAGTGAAAAAGATAAAGAGTGTAAATTATGTAGTATGCTGCACGCCCACATATTAAATAATTATGTATTAGAGTGTCAACTTATTGACAACTATAGAAATAAGGAAATAAGTAGTGTACAACATCAAATTGTTTTGATGTGTGATAATGGTATGATAGAATACTTACGAGCTACAAGCACTTTGTCCCAAGAGTGTAACACTTAAATGCTGTGTTTACTATATTAATCAACAATGTAAAATGTGATTCTTGTACTGTGATTTGTTGATTTGTACTCGCTGAGTTTGTGCGCCTCTTGAGGGACTTTAAGTTGACGAGGATAGAAATAGACTTAGCTACTCTATCCTTTTGAGATGTATTTTATTGTCTCAATAAACGTACTTCAACTTGACCCTGTGTATGACTTATCTCGTTAAGACCTTTGAAAGATGTATCCATGTCTATGTACATATATTAGGACTTTACAAACTTGATTGAATCTATGTAAGAGTGTTCTTACACTCTGACCTTGAGGTATGTTGCACCACCTCGCCAACCCTTCGTTCACCGCCAGGGGTTAAGAAGCTCCTACCATTAATATTATGTTGACACTTGAAAATATCGTTAAATTTAAATTTAATGTTTTTTAATGGAATATATATTCACTATAAAGAAAAATCGCGCATGAAACTAAAACTGTTAAGAACCGATTCGGCGAACTCGAGAAATTATTGGAACTTATTAAAGCGAACCGGTGGAAACTGGTTGAGTCCCACCACTGCTGACCGGTTGAGTCCCACCACTGCTGACCAGTTGAGTCCCACCACTGCTGACCGGTTGAGTCCCACCACTGCTGACAGGTTGAGTCCCACCACTGCTGACCGGTTGAGTCCCACCACTGCTGACCGGTTGAGTCCCACCACTGCTGACCGGTTGAGTCCCACCACTGCTGACCGGTTGAGTCCCACCACTGCTGACAGGTTGAGTCCCACCACTGCTGACCGGTTGAGTCCCACCACTGCCGACAGGTTGAGTCCCACCACTGCTGACCGGTTGAGTCCCACCACTGCTGACAGGTTGAGTCCCACCACTGCTGACCGGTTGAGTCCCACCACTGCTGACAGGTTGAGTCCCACCACTGCTGACTGGTTGAGTCCCACCACTGCTGACCGGTTGAGTCCCACCACTGCTGACCGGTTGAGTCCCACCACTGCTGACCAGTTGAGTCCCACCACTGCTGACCGGTTGAGTCCCACCACTGCTGACTGGTTGAGTACCACCACTGCTGACAGGTTGAGTCCCACCACTGCTGACCGGTTGAGTCCCACCACTGCTGACCGGTTGAGTCCCACCACTGCTGACTGGTTGAGTACCACCACTGCTGACAGGTTGAGTCCCACCACTGCTGACAGGTTGAGTCCCACCACTGCTGACAGGTTGAGTCCCACCACTGCTGACTGGTTGAGTCCCACCACTGCTGACAGGTTGAGTCCCACCACTGCTGACCGGTTGAGTCCCACCACTGCTGACAGGTTGAGTCCCACCACTGCTGACCGGTTGAGTCCCACCACTGCTGACAGGTTGAGTCCCACCACTGCTGACCGGTTGAGTCCCACCACTGCTGACAGGTTGAGTCCCACCACTGCTGACCGGTTGAGTCCCACCACTGCTGACAGGTTGAGTCCCACCACTGCTGACTGGTTGAGTCCCACCACTGCTGACCGGTTGAGTCCCACCACTGCTGACCGGTTGAGTCCCACCACTGCTGACCAGTTGAGTCCCACCACTGCTGACAGGTTGAGTCCCACCACTGCTGACCAGTTGAGTCCCACCACTGCTGACCGGTTGAGTCCCACCACTGCTGACTGGTTGAGTACCACCATTGCTGACAGGTTGAGTCCCACCACTGCTGACCGGTTGAGTCCCACCACTGTTGACCAGTTGAGTCCCACCACTGCTGACAGGTTGAGTCCCACCACTGCTGACAGGTTGAGTCCCACCACTGCTGACCAGTTGAGTCCCACCACTGCTGACCGGTTGAGTCCCACCACTGCTGACTGGTTGAGTACCACCACTGCTGACAGGTTGAGTCCCACCACTGCTGACTGGTTGAGTCCCACCACTGCTGACAGGTTGAGTCCCACCACTGCTGACCGGTTGAGTCCCACCACTGCTGACAGGTTGAGTCCCACCACTGCTGACAGATTGAGTCCCACCACTGCTGACAGGTTGAGTCCCACCACTGCTGACAGATTGAGTCCCACCACTGCTGACAGATTGAGTCCCACCACTGCTGACAGGTTGAGTCCCACCACTGCTGACAGATTGAGTCCACCACTGCTGACAGGTTGAGTCCCACCACTGCTGACCGGTTGAGTCCCACCACTGCTGACAGGTTGAGTCCCACCACTGCTGACAGGTTGAGTCCCACCACTGCTGACAGATTGAGTCCCACCACTGCTGACAGGTTGAGTCCCACCACTGCTGACAGGTTGAGTCCCACCACTGCTGACAGGTTGAGTCCCACCACTGCTGACAGATTGAGTCCCACCACTGCTGACAGGTTGAGTCCCACCACTGCTGACTGGTTGAGTCCCACCACTGCTGACTGGTTGAGTACCACCACTGCTGACTGGTTGAGTCCCACCACTGCTGACAGGTTGAGTCCCACCACTGCTGACTGGTTGAGTCCCACCACTGCTGACCGGTTGAGTCCCACCGCTGCTGACAGATTGAGTCCCACCGCTGCTGACAGATTGAGTCCCACCACTGCTGACCGGTTGAGTCCCACCACTGCTGACTGGTTGAGTACCACCACTGCTGACCGGTTGAGTCCCACCACTGCTGACTGGTTGAGTACCACCGCTGCTGACAGATTGAGTCCCACCACTGCTGACCGGTTGAGTCCCACCACTGCTGACTGGTTGAGTACCACCACTGCTGACAGGTTGAGTCCCACCACTGCTGACCGGTTGAGTACCACCACTGCTGACAGATTGAGTCCCACCACTGCTGACCGGTTGAGTCCCACCACTGCTGACTGGCTGAGTACCACCACTGCTGACAGGTTGAGTCCCACCACTGCTGACACCAAAGTGCAGATGAAGAGCGCGGTCCGCCTGCAGGCATGTGGCAACCATTGTAATCATACACCCCAACACTGAGGCGGCTGCCAGTGCCTGTGGACCCGCGCTGGGAGGAGGAGGTGACTCGCTCTCGTCGAACTTTTTGTATCGTCAAGTTTTCTGTGTGATACTGAACCAATATTATTTTATCGTCCTTAAGTTTAACCATTGGAATAAGACTGCTACTCAGACTGGATCAAGAACATTTGAGGATTAAGTTCTACCTCGGTGTTGCTGGAGGCTGTTTCTTCTAAAACTTGGTAAGTCATGCAAGTTTATATGATTATTAACTAATATATATAAATGTCTTAAGAACAGATACGCTCTGCTACCTGTCACGCTGTACCCATCAGTTAATTGCAGCCTATTTACTGTAAACTAATGAAAATGTAAAATAACTTACCCAAACAGATAACGATTTACTTCAGCGTTTGCATTTTAATATAGTTTTCTTTTTTATAAGAAAATAGGTGTAGTTTGTTAGGAAAAACTTTTCATATTAAGTATTTGCATTGAATCTTGCAAACAGAAAGTTGAACGATCACAGCCAAAAAGCTAACGTCTTAAAAACTTATTATTACGATAAAACATTTGAGGAAAATACTTGCATTAGGAAAAACCCGTAAACAGATGGACAAGCGTCATCGCATCTGCGCTCATTAGCCACAACCTGTGTAAACTAATTTAGGTTCAACAAATCATACCATTTGAGCTGAATGGTTCGTATGAATGTATTCTTTACTATTATTAGTAATAGAAGTGATAATGCAAGTAGTAGTACTATCTGTAACAACAGTTGTATTTACCAACATTAGACTATGCAGATGATGAGTCACAATAACGGGGCTGAAAATATGATAACCAAACGACACATCCCAAGACGGAGAAACCAACCCGTTCTCGCACTTTCTTACAGTCAATATTGACTTATTAAATACGTGCATATGTGACATACTAAACATACTAGTTTACCTTGAAAAGCTTCATAGAAAACACCGACCTTACCTAACCTTCTTAGTATGTTAAGATAAGCATCTTATTGCTTCGTAATTACAATTATTACTTAACCTATACCTATAATAGGTTAAGCTATAACCTATACCTATAATAGGTTAAGTAATAATTGTAATTACGAAGCAATAAGATGCTTATCTTAACATACTAAGAAGGTTAGGTAAGGTCGGTGTTTTCTATGAAGCTTTTCAAGGTAAACTAGTATGTTTAGTTTGTCACATGTGCACGTATTTAATAAGTCAATATTGACCATACGAAATTGCGAGAACGGGTTGGAGAAACACGACGTTTCGGTCCACCCTGGACATACGACTTGATAATGGTCCAGGAGAGACCGAAACGTCGTCGATCTCATCAGAAGATGTGTGGTTTTGTCAACATTAGGCTAATATTATCTGTAGTGTGACGTAAAAGTGAAAGAATATATCAGTGGCTATTCTGGCTGGTGTTATGCCAATTACATTAAATAAAAAAAAAGTAAAACAAAGTAAACAAAACTGCTTCTGACCTCTTTACGGTATGAGAGCTGCGGGTAAAGTCCAAAGAATGAAAAACTTTAAATATTTAATATAACAAAAATGACTTCAACACCAAATAAAACAATTCCCATATTCTACTTGGCATTACCACAATATAAATTGCAAAAGAAAGATAAACAAACATGTGACAGTTACGTTAATGACCAAAGGTACAAAACACAATATACAATAAGCTGTACGCATCTACGGTTTCTGGGAAGGCTACAGTAGATGTTACTGCTGAGAGCATGAAGTGTATTATGATGTCTGGCCGATTGATTAATTGATAAAGATAAGCCACCCAAAAGGTGGCACTGGCATGAATAGCCAGTAAGTGGTACAATTTTTTGTTCAGTAAATCTTTTCAGTGTTCTGTATAGATGTCTGGCCGGTGGTGAGCTGCTTATATATGTGGCCAGGCCTAGTGTAGATTTTTTTTTTTTTTGCAGGGATATTCCTGCGTGGGCCCTAAGCCTCTGGCTGGCCCACTAAGTGTTGCTTGTTTCTGTTTTACTTGGGCGGAGTATGAGTATTTATGACTCGTATGGTCGCTTCAGTAAGATTTTGTCTTATGTGTTTAACAACTTCTGCTCTGTTGAATCTAAGTTTAAATCTTAATGGGTTTGTAACTGTGCACTGTGTTAGATAATGTTCCAGTGGTCTGTCGGGCATTTCTCTACAATGTTGACATTTCCTCTCATCTTCCGGAACCTGTAAGCCTATTTCCCATGCACATGGGTATCCAAGCCTGATGCGATGTAAGTGCACTTCTGTTGTTCTACTGCTCCCTTTCATCAAACAAAGTGGTTCGTAGTTGGTTGAATTCCATCATAGAAAGTGGTTCGTAGTTGGTTGAATTCTTGTACCAACTCGCAGATCCTGATGTTGCATCTGCTGTGTTGTGGTCACTATACATCTTTTGCATTGCTCTGTTTCTAATTACTTTCTTAATCTGTGATAGACTCTGGTATGTAAATGTCTACATTTCTTCTCTTAGTTGCAAGTTTTGCAGCTTCGTCTGCAATGTCATTTCCAATTATTCCCACATGACTTGGCACCCAGTTGATAAGTACTCGTTGGCTTACTAGTGTAGATGGCGCTGATGTTCAGGTAACTATCGCCGGCAGTCTTAAACAAGGGGTTCAGCTGGTCGACCAGCGAGTGGAGTTGAAGCCTGAAGACACAAGCTTCTGAGCACGTAGTGTTGTTGTTGATTTCGTATACTTGAGTATGCAGATATGTTTTTGAATAGGCGGTAAAGGAATAGGCAGGATCTCCTTGCCTAAGCAAGAGATTACCGTAACAGTAGCAACAGTTGAATTGTCTCCATTAGGCTAATACTATATGTAGCAAGCTGTATTATCTACAGTAGGCTAATACTATATGTAGCAAGCTGTATTATCTACAGTAGGCTAATACTATATGTAGCAAGCTGTATTATCTACATTAGGCTAATACTATATGTAGCAAGTTGTATTATCTACAGTAGGCTAATACTATCTGTTGCAGCATTTGTATTATCCACATTAGGCTAATACCATATGTATCAACAGTTCTATTATCTACATTATGTTAATACTATCTGTATCAACGGTTGTATTATCTACCATGGGATAATACTATATGTAACAACAGTTGTATTATCCACGTTAGGCTAATTCTATATATTGCAGCAGTTAGTAAGAGAAGGTTCCCAGGACAACTGCCCGCTGCCCAGATGGGAACTGCCTATCTCCAAGACGTATTAGTAAAATGGAACGTGCCCAAACGTTTACGTCCAGCCGCAGAAATCAAGCCAGTGACCTCTTGGTTGTGATCGACTGCGCTGGCTACTGCTCTATAGTACCGTTTATTGTAATAAATAATTTATAACTATAAACTTTGAGTCAATTGTCTTGATGTTACGAGAGCAGAGTACTAACCTACAGACAATCCACATGAACTAACACAATGAAATTGAAATTGAAATAAGGTTATTGTGGCATAAATGCACACAAAGGGATGAGATAGGTCAAGGTATTCTCACCCTGTTATAATACAATGTTTCCTGATTGGCGCGTCGTGGTGCTCCCTCACGGCCACACACCACTAAAAACATGGGTGGGAGGCGCGCTACCAGGAAAACTGTATTAGGTGAATATGTGTAGTAGAGCGGCGGTGTTGGTTGCACCATGGGTTTATAAGGGTCCTCTGTGACGTCACTGATCACGTGCTTGTCTCTTGGACGTAGTAACTTTGACTAGTTTGATTAGTTGACATAAAAACTAACCAATTTTGATGACGGTATCGTACAACTGTGATGGTTATAATTAATGAATAACTAAACTCGAGACAGTGTTCTCGCCGGTCTGTTACCAACAGTTTCATATAGACAGATCTGTGAGTTACATTGTGTGCTGCCTATCTCTTTACTCCACACAGTCGCCTCACAGTCTCATGCGCTCTACCATTCCCCTCGTCCTGGCTGTTTCTTTGTGCTTCTCCCATCTCTTAATAATAATAATATAGGATAAAAAAAAACACACTTGTAAAGATTAGATCAATCAAATAAGAATTAGACGTTCAGATATAAGTCTCGTCCTTGTCACACACTCACACCTTGACGAAACACCAAAACACTCAAAGCATTTATTAATTTGAAACATGAGACTGGAGAATTCGTAGATAAGAAATGTACTTTTCAAGGAGGCGTGGTGAGAGACCGGGCCGCGGGGACCTTGACCCCCGGGAACCAACGCAAGGTAAGGAACATTGAGCCAGCAACGCACATGGTGGTGTTGATCGCATAAACCTTATGGAATACCAGCAGTATTGACCGTGTGCCTGATGACGTCAGTGCGAGGTCACTATGTAAACAATAACAGAAAAGTTTTATTGTGAAATATAAACTTTTGTTAGTGTGGTAGTGGTGAGGCGTGCAGCTTATTCCTGTATTGTTAGTGTGGTAGTGGTGAGGCGTGCAGCGTATTCCTCTATTGAAGACAATTTTCAATTTCCTTTCTTAATTATGCACCCCATCCCCATCCCGTGGGCGGTGGTGTAAAGGATTACAGAGGCACATAATCGGTTCGGGAACTGAACCCTCTAGTTCGTTTAGCTAAGCAAATAAAAAATTTTTGACGCTAGTTACAAAATTATCAATGTTATTGCAACTGAAAACTCACACCCCAGAAGTGACTCGAACCCATACTGCCAGGAGCAACGCAATTGGTATGTACAGGACGCCTTAATCCACTTGACCATCACGACCGGACAAAAACTGATGGTAGCCGAGGCTATTTAGCCCATCAGCCCGCCGGCACTCTGATGGTAATCTTGGGCATTGTCCGGTCGTGATGGTCAAGTGGATTAAGGCGTCCTGTACATACCAGTTGCGTTGCTCCTGGCAGTATGGGTTCGAGTCACTTCTGGGGTGTGAGTTTTCAGTTGCAACCCTGGAAACACAAACCGAAACTGTCTTTATTTTCCGCTTGTTACAACTTGTAATAAAGTTGTTACATCTTGGCTTAACGTGTTTATGACGTATTAGAGCGTTGTTACAACTTGCTAATATTGGTTGTTATAACTGGTTAGGAGGTGTTAAAACTTGTTCGAACGTTGTACCAACGTCGTAGTTTCGGTGTGTGTTTGGCGGGATATAGTCCTGGAGACCATTCAGGCTTGTTCGCATTTGTGTTCCTCACGTGTGTCCCAAAGAATGAGGTGATTTGATAAAATGCTATGCCCAA